TATATATATAGTTTCAAGTACAATTTCAAATATTTCAAATCGTGTACTGCATGCCAATAGGCATAACTCTCTAGCTATGATACTACTACATTTATTTCTGTGTGTTTGGCAGTGTAGAATCTAAAATAGAACTATCAATAAATATAAAAAATTCTTCGTAATAATCACTTTAAAGCTAAAAGAATTGAAAATTTGAAATTATGATACTGAAAACATGAAAAATAACTATAAAATTGATATTTTTCGCTTCGTTTGACAAAACATTTTTCCGTCTAAAAATCTGGTGTATAGAGAATGTGATAGCATTGATTTAAATATATGCAATATTGACCATCAAATCCAATATCTATTGTTCGACCGGTATGAAGACCCTTCAACTTCATACACATTTTTTTTTTTTTTAATAAAATCATATTATACTCATTTTATACTCAAAATTTAAATAGTGGTAAAATACTTACAGGCAAACATAAAAAAAAAAAGAAAAAAAAACTTTTTATTAATATTTTATCAAGTTATGTATATAAGTTTAAGGTTCAAAACATAATATTGCTACAATATTCTTATATTTATTTTCGTTCAATTTTAATTCTTTTGTAAGTTGATTTTATGTCATTTATATAAATGTCTATATTTGGTTCATTTACAATTTTATAACTTTAGTGAATTTTTTTTGGTTCATTTACAATTTTTTTCTATATTGTGACAGGATTCTATTATTTTTTATGATAAATTTATGGTTATTTATGGTTTTGTGCACAATCGCATAATTACATTTTTTTTTTTCTATATTATGACTTATGACAGGATTTAATTATTTTTTGTGATAAATTTACGGTTATTTATGGTTCGTTGCAAAATCGCATAATTGCTCTCCCTAGTATATCTACTATCTACTCACTTGGATTATAGGTTAGTTACATAACATCTAAAACGTTCATTTATTACATATTCATAAAGTTGGTTAGTGGTGAACCATATATTTTATACGATGGGGTTTTATTGTCAGGGATTTCGAGTGATATTTAAAGATTTTTTTGAGATTTGAGAATTTTTTAGATTTTTAAATTTTAGAGGAACCTTGTGAAATTTTTAAGTATAGAGGTGATATTTGGAGTAGATTTCCTATATGTTTTTCTTTAGAAATCCATTTATTAAAAAGTCTTATCAAATTTCGGTCTCAAATAAGACTTTTTAAAATCCAAATGATATCTCGAGACTTTTAAAAATCTTGATAAGTCTAAATTAAATACACTAGAATTTCTAAATTTGTAAAAAGTCTTTACTGTTGTAATATAGATTGTCAATATGTGAGATAGACAAGATAGACAAAGAGAGAAAGTAGTAAAAGAGAAAAATAGAGAAGAGATACGCCGTCAAAACCCTCATCTTATTCATTCACTTGAGCCCTATATATAAGGGAATACAATGTACATGACTAAAGACCTAATGGGCTCCTGGCCCATACCTACAAATCCTATATCTAGGTAATGTCCATAAATTAATATTTACAACACTTCCCCTTGGACATTACCGCATCATGTCTATGCCTCGTTAAAAACCTCGCTGCAAAACCCTGTAGGAAAAAGCAGTCGAGGAAAAGAGTACATAACATATGCAAATTTATGTGTTACACATGCTGCCTCGTTAAAAACCTCACTAAGTAAAACCCAATGAAAAAAAACTTAGTCAAGGGAAAAAGAGTACAGCACCGGCCAACAGGGCCTAATTTTCAGGATTATAATTAACCTTCCGGGTTCGATTTTCGAGATTTATTTATTGCTCCCCCTGAAGGGAACACCTTTTTAGTTACATTCATAATTGTATGTTGCTCCCCCTCAAGGTAAGAGTTTCTAACATAAAATCGTCATTTGTTGCTCTTCGGGAGTTGATATAGATTCAAAATATCATCAAATGTATTTATATAATTTATTTGTGTAACACAAACTAAGTTATCTTCAGGATAAATATGGGGAAATTTCAATAACCAATGGTAAATAGTTAATACCATTTGAGAGGTATATAACCAATTGAGGACCCATACTTCGGGGATCAATTATACAATTGATGTCCTTATCCACCAATATCATATATCAAGTCCAAAGATAACTCAACATATATGAAGAATAATGGGATATTCTCAATATTTATCACGATATCTCTTTAAGGAGAGATTTAGTAAATCTTGCCAGCAAATTCATCACAAATTCAGTATCAGGCCTGATGCAGTTTGCGTGATAAAAGTTTAGCACAATTGCGCTTAATAAATAAACTTCATGTCGTTCGTGGACTTCAAGTCCATTTGGAACTCCAGGTCCTATAATATCCTCATTTGTTTCTTTGGATCTTTGTCAAATTCCAAATATTTGACACTCATTGGTGTTATAATTTTACATCTCTAAAAGAGATTCAAGTAGATTGGTTGGGTCAAAAATATTCCTTCTAGGAGATGCTCGATCTACAAGTCGAGATAATACTCTTTGGTATTTAACCAAAAGTTCCATTCTTACTTCGTCTATAAGCATGAGCTAACTTATTTAATCTTTTATATAGTGTTCACCACATAGTCTATTTGACCGAGATGATCATTTTGTATATTATCATTATACACAAGGTTCTACCTTGAATTTTTCTTACTTTACTTCTTCTGGAAGAATTTAGTTGGTTGTACCACATCTTACCAACAACTTCAAATAAATAAGCCATTTATTATTTAATTATCTTTCATCTCTGGTACTCGAGTCCATCCAGGACTTTCACATATGACTCAATAGTCATGGTAATAATGCTGCCATAAATAACTTGCGGAATCATTGATAATGAGAGAACTTATCTAAATGAATATATGGGTCTCTGCATAAACCCATGAGCATAATCTCGCTATATTTACATCATACCACCACATCACATATTTCATATAAATATTCATTATCCTTCTGGGATATGTTATCCTCCTGGGATATATCGTGTAGCGAGTGAAAGCTCTGCCTTAATTTTTCTTTCTATCTCAATCAACTTAGCGCTTCTAGTACTTTCATTCTTTTGATCCGGATCATTATTTGAGATAGAAAAGAAATCACATAGGCAAGTATGTTGTCGACAACTGATATTCAATTTATATTTTTCTCTCAACCATATATGCAACTTCATATTTACTAGCCATATTCATAACCATTTCCCATAACATCTAATTTCGGCATTTCCGCATTTCCAGTACTATAATGGTTTGATGCACGTGCAAGATGTACTGGATCAACTCTTCAGGAGTTTCGTATAAAGGAGTGTTAATTCTTGAATATACATATTCCGCGGACTTTCATACATCATATATTAATTATAAAACCTTATGCTTCTAGCATTAAGGAGTCAGTCATTCCCTAGGGAATTTGCTTACTTTGTGGTACATTTATATATATACAAATTGGTCACTCCATTATTACTATAAATTTCGTTTGGCAGAAATATAATATGAACTTCAAGTTCAATATTTATTGCGTGGTTTGAAATAATTTATATTTCACATATTTCACGGCATTAATAAACTTATGCTCATATCTCCCCCTAATGCCGTGAAATCATCTTCATATATTATGCAAAACACGTACCAAATAATAAACTGATCCCCTATAATGGCCTCTAGGTATTAAAATTTCGACGGAGTATAAAAATCATAGCATACATAGTTTGTAATATAGGCCCATAAAGGTACGAATTGGTGGTGACATAAAATTAATAAATTGCAGATGGGAAATTTTTGATTCTCCACGCATTTTATCATAAATAATTGCCCAATATGATCCAACTGCTCATGCTAATTATCAAATATATAGGTTGGGCATCGAAGTATAATAATTTATTTATAAGTGAACACTATATGCTTTAGGCACTACAATTATACTTTGATTGTGAGCCTTTTATTGTAGCTATCAACTATATTATGTGTTTCGGGCACGACATATAAATTTATTACTGTAGCTATCAACAATACAAGCCAATGATATGCATCTTATCAAATATACAAGCAAACTTAAGTAATTTGAGAAAACTTGTATATTGATTCAATCTTGGTAACATTCTAGTTACATAATTTTATCAGAGTATATTGAATATGCAGAGCTGATCTAAAATCAAAAGATCATGAATTCATCCAAAACTTACTAGATTATTTACTAGATCAATCTTTCAAGGATACTGGCTAGATAATTGTTATGCGATTATTATTCTGGTCAACCAGACCAATCTTTCAAGGATATCCAAATCTAGGTCAATAAGGTATTCAAATTCACTAGTGATACTTTTAATTATATAATCCTTCAGGGAAACTCAAATCTATAAGCATAAAATTCAACAGGATATTGCTCTGCAATTCATGATAGGATTAAGAAAAAAATAACTATACAAGTTGCATACTATTCATTTGATTCATTAGTCAATTAGACAAAGTTCAAGATATTCAAATTGATTTAGGCTCAATAAATTTGGATCACGTCCATACTCAATGCATAAAATAACGAAACAAAGTATGCAACTATAATTTCCAAACTAAATTCATGTGTAAATACATATTTTGATAGTTTAACCATAATGTTCCAAACAACATAAATAATTTACATTTTAAAATTAATCCACGTATGTCATGCGTATTCAGATCCATGGACGAATAATAAAATATGTCGGTATTTTTATTTTATAACT